TTCCACGAGTTGAAGAGAACATCCCCCTGGGGAATCGGAAAAACAAGTGTTTCGTAATACGTGCGGTACGCTTATGGGAAATCGATTGGAAACTTGGCTGAAATACTTTCGTAAATAAATCGATCAGAATCGATGTGTTGTGAGTTACCTTTATGTTAACGATAGGGAGATCCCGGTCGCCAAGTCTCACGATGCTGTCGACATTTTGAACTCTGGAGCTGAGGAATGCTCGAAACGTACCCCTCAAGCCTGCTCGCTTCGCTTGTCGATAACAAGCATAGTCAGCTCCTCGCACACCATGCATGTCTCCGGTAAATGGTTCGTTCAAAGCAGCCATTCGTAACTGGAAATTGTAATATCGATATAACATTCTTGAAATTTATTGCTAGGGATGGAGGGAAATATTTAGAGTTATATAAAGATCAGATATAAAAAGAACTGTAAATGTTAATTTAGAAAACATCGAAAGCAGTAGTAGTAGCAAATAAAAATAAAAATGCAATTATGATTCATTTAGTCTTTATATATATATATATACAAGAATAAGTCCTAATATATATTTTATCAATGAATAATATTTTACTAAACAATTGGTAGCTATTTGTAAAATAGATTTTGCGCATGTCAGTCAATAAAGAAAATAAATTTATCGCTTATTGAGAAAATAAATGATTATATTAATTAGAAAAAAGTTATTGAGAAGATAAATTTTCTAGCAGAAGCAGTTCATTCATTCGTGTTTTATCAAAAGATTCTGTAGTAAAAAATTCGATAGATAATGATAATTCGTTTCTCTTTCTAGATACACATTTAACGAGAATGAAACGAGACGATTCTTTTCTTGATGAAAACTATCAAAATTAGAAAGAGGAATGTATAAGAAGATGATAATGTGGAAACATTAATCATGCTAATATCTCTTACCATTCGTGGATACCACTTTGCGAGCAAGACGAAAATTTAATCGAAATTAGGTAATGCATTAGTCCACTCTTATCGATAACGATTTACACTCAACAGGATTAAGATAGTAACTCACTCCTGTTCCATCAGCTTTTACGGGTATCTGGTTGATCAGGTTGGAAGCCTCGAAAGGTGGATTTACCGGAGGCGGTGACGTGGTCGGTGGTGCTGGCGTAGTTATTGGTAGAAGCGAACCCAACTACACAAAATATAGCATAAATATTTTCAGTTGAATTGAAGCTATATGATTCCCCATGTAAACTATATAGTGCTGAAATTAGAGATTTTCTTTGTCTGTTGGTAACATAAAAGTATAAAATGATTGCCCATTAATTAATGAAGGAAATAAATTGCATTCGATAAAATATTTTTGCAACGTTTCCAAATTTCATAATTATAATGTTTAATAGATTTAGATAAGAAATAAGGAATAAATAATTTCAGTACATTATTTAGAATTTATATAAATGAATTATATATTAATCGATTCGTGATTAAATGTTAATCGTGTAGTATTGTGAATAGGAGAGTTTATACTAACTGCAATGTATTGCCAGCCGTTGTTCACTCTAACGAGTAAAGCTTGTTCGTCTATGATGTAAGCTAACGTTCCAACTGGACTCACAGCAGACATCTAAAGGCACAAAACATTACAAAAAAAAAAAGTTAAAAAATTACGTTATTTAGAGTATTTATACATTGCTCAAAGATATTAATAATATTCGAGTGATATAAAAAGATTTACTTTGGTCATAGCTTCGGTGTTTTGAAAGGTCACAGCTCCTGGTACAATCTTCGTTGTGCTTTCTAAGGGACCTCTGGTCGCGGTGGTTGCAGCACCTTGTAAACATTTTATAGACAATTGGGACGCGTTTCTAGACGTACGTTAACTTTACTGCGCAATTCTTCTAATTTAGAATATACCACGAAAGTTAATATTTCTTTTAGAATCGTATTTTATACTTAGAGCGTTACCTAAATGTTCCTTTAGCTCCTTCAATTGTTTTAGCTCTCGCAGAGCTTTCAGTTCGTCTAAACTAGTTCTGGGTCCTTGCAACATAATAAAAGAAATATCGCGTTTTTAATGGAACACACTCTGTTTGTATTTTCAGTTGTAGTATTTTCACTGATTTTCTAAGGTACATCAATCGTTGTCACTTTTTAAGTGACTACGCGTTCTTCATAATTGAAAAGAATTCAAACTGAAAAATATCTAAAATTCTGAATTTCTAAATTTTTGCCGACTAACAAAGTGAATTATCTTATTTATGCATAGTAAATCTCTTCTACCTTGTCTGACTCCGTAATAGTCTCTCTCGCCAAAGATGTGACTTCTGCCAATTCCTGGTTCTCCTTTCTGTCCGATCAAAGATAATCCCGGTGGTCCTGGTGGTCCAGGAGGTCCCGGGGGACCAGGAACTGGGATATAGTTTCCTTGGGACGGTGGTCCAGGTGGTCCAGGAGGACCTGGAGGTCCTCTCTGACCGTCTCTTCCAGGTTGTCCAGGAATTCCAGGGAAACCATCGTCTCCTTTGTCGCCTTTTATCTGAATATTATTTGTTTTTTCAAATTACGTGCTTAATATATAAGACTGAACATCGTTACTCAAAATTGAGATAACCGTGAACGTTAATGTTAGAAATAAATTTTTGGATGATAAAATTTATATAATGTATATTATAAACATGATATATAATATATATTTTATCATATTGTATTATAATATATATTTATACATTTATATAATATATATTATAAGCATAAACTATTCACATCACGGTGATACGCACGTTAATCGTATATAGTATCTCTTCGATTTATTTCTCAGCTTCATGTTCACTCGTTCTAATTGTAAGTGGAAACTAATTTCTGTAAATGAACGTTTTGGATATATAATCACGGGGTAGAGGTACTTGAACCAGTTTCGTCGAGTGGAAATCGGAATAAATCGCAGGTCGTGCCTTGGCGGCTGCCGAGGCCGTTCGAGAGCGCAATAAAAGCGGCGAGTTTGCCTTACGTTGGCGCAAATTTTAAACCAAAGTGCGGTGAATTAAGCCCTGCCACGTGCATTCGCTTGTGCTCGTCGCTTGTCACTGACGAACGACAAAATTTCGACGAATTTCTGTTTGGGACGCCGAATAAATCGAGTCGTAGCTTCGTTGGACGACGAACATGAAAAGAAAAAAAAAAAGAGGGGGAGAGAGAGTGAATGTCGGGAAGGGGAAGGCAAAAAAAAAAAAAGAAATTGAACAAAAAAGAGAAGGAACGGAGTGTCAAGCGCACACTTGCATTAATTTTCGTCACTCTGCGCGTTCTATGGCCCGTTCAATGAGACTTGCGGATATACACGGTGATCTACGAGCACTGTTACAAGAGACTGTTCGCGAAAGAGCTGTACGAAGTGGTCGTTCTGACTAAAAAATGTTCACCGTACGAGAGTTTCGTGTCGTAACAGTGATTAAACAGCTCTGCGAAGAATTGAATCGAATCGGCTGGCAAAAAGGGAGAAAAACATTTCAGATCGAGAGGGAAATTTGTAGGAAGTAATGGGTTTCCATCCTGCAGTTTTCTTTTTCAGCTTCGACGTTATACGTTTTTATATCGACGTTACGTTACATTTTTCACGTTGCACTCGTCGTTCATACAAGTTTCAGCGAAATATTTTCTTTGTTTTTCTGCGTTTTAATTTTCGGGCATGATTTCTTAAAAGTGTATTTCGAACAGCCATAAATTCAGCGTTCGCGGTGGTATGTTTTTCCTCGAAATGACCCGCCCTTTGACAATCCTGAAAAGTTTATAACGGCAGTTATAAATCACCGGGTGTATATCTCCACCTCGTCCTTTCACCCGTTACGAGACAGGATAAAAAATGCATCCATTATCTTTATTCGTTTCACGCTGGAAGCTCTTTAACAGTTCATCTTTACCCTGACCTTCTCCTTGCATTAACTTTGCCGGGATAATTCTTGAAAACGCGGACGAGAATGGTATTAGCTATTCAGATGAATATCTATCGGGAAAATCTTTTAATTCGTTTTTCTTCGTCTCGTAGATCTTTCTAGTGCGTATTCGTTTTATTAAACGTAACTTTGAAAGGAATAACCAACACTTGCACAATTCTCGCTCGAAGAAATATTACGAATGTTTAAAACATCAAAGTTTTGGAGACTCACATCTGTTATTTGTACACGTTTTACTTTGTATACTTGATTTTTACATCGCAAGAGAGAGGCAAATGATATTTAAAGATACGAGGTTAATATCTGACATTAATCTCGTTCACTTTTTTAAATAATTAATGGAAAAATGTTCGAAATTTATTCCACGGGGCGAAAGTTATCAACGGAACGTCGAAAGGTCGAAGATTCAAAGCTACTTTCTGCACTTGCTGCGTTTCTCTGAATTTTACCGGTAATTTCCAAGTAACACACAGGTCCCGCTCGCTTCACAGGGAATTGCTTACGAGCATTCATAGTTTCGATTTGAATGAGAATCTGCGACTGGTACTTACACCGACAGAAACTCCGTAAGGGCTCGGTGTGCCGGGTTCTCCTTTTTCTCCCTTGGGTCCCACTGGTCCAACAGGTCCAGGAAGTCCGGGAGTTCCAGGACGACCCTGTTGGAAGTAGTTACCGATACATAGCATTCATGTCCTACTCTCCCCTGTTCATGAATATTCTATGTTCATTAAACCCTTAATTAATCTAGCGTGCAGTTCGATTCGGCGTACACTTCGCGTGATTTCTAATTTTATGATCTGATTATTACATCGTTAATTAGCGCTGTTTCATTTAATCGATCAAATTCAAGATCGATGAAACGCCGACACCGTTTAAAATTTGATGTAATTAGAAAATTATTTTCATCTTATTACATTATTAGATGATACTCACTTTCATGGTGTTCTGTGCATTGGAACGTAGCATTGGAAAAAGTATATCATTTCAGACGGATTAGTGATTTTTTATATTTAATTGGATAATTAAATGATTTAATGATAAATGTTTCGAATAGCAGAAAATATGTGTTAATTATCACTTGATTTTACTGGAATTAGAAAATCTCCTCTCACAGTATGTATATGTGTTTACGAAACGTAGGTGTATTAATCTATTGATTAGCAACTTTTCGTTTTAAAGATAGAGCGAGAAATACAAACTATATATATAATATACATGTAAAATATATAAGTAATATATAAGTTGTATATAATATATAGAAGTTTATATATACATAAACTATCTCCATTATGTAGAAGTTTCCAAAGTTATGTTTCTACAAAAGGGAAGAAATCTTCGTCAACGATTTTATGTAATTTGTATAAAACTCATTTCACATCAGTCAAAACAAATTTATTTATTTTAGAAATAAATAAATCTTGGACTTCAGTTGAAAATAGTACGTTATTATACGTACTATTTTCAATGTATATTGAGATGTGTACTAATATAATTTTTTGTTTGCTAATGTAATTCTTTAGCTGTTATTAGTTCGAAACGATAATCGACTTCGATTATATATAGCAAAGAACTCAGCGATCCGAGAACGTGTCTGACAAGGCTTACAGATCCATTGACTTGTACTTGTTCATCACGAAGTTGAGGTAGCCACTCGCCAATTAATCTAATGCCCTGGAACTCAGACTTCATGGAACACGATTTCAGAGTTGTGGCATCCGTCAAAAGCCACCACCATGTCGTAGAATTTAGGACTTTATCTCGGCTATTTACTTACATTTTCAAAGGATTTCGTCGTTGAATAAGATTGTGACGATACGCACATCATATCGGATTTTTTATCTTTCGTTCAGTTATCAATTAGGTAAAATCTTCATAGTTTTCAATTCAAATTCAAGTTGCTTATATCGTTTAGTAATTTCACTTTAAGTTCGTGTCTAAATTATTTGACTTGAAGTAACAAAGTAATCGCACTGGTAAAGTGATTGAATTCAAGTTGGTTGATTAATTTAACCTAAGTTTTAGAGTCGTTACACATACACAATCTGCGAAAGTTTCACTTCAACGGTACTGTTCAAAGCTACTTATTTCTTACTATGATTATATCTTGTTAATAAAATGAAAATTTTCACATGGCATAAGGAAATAATATCTATCAAGTAATAGTAATAAATTTTACTACAAAATCTTATTTTGTTGATGGACAGGATATCAAACAGAACAGGAAATCGGGCATTTGATCGAGGAAAAAAGGAGAAAAGAAAAAGGAAAAGAAGAAAGAGAAAGCGTAGAGTAAAAGTATAAAAGAAATTTCCTCGTACCACCCATCCAGGTAACCCAATTTCTCCCATCGCTCCCGGCTTTCCAGGTGGGCCAACTGGTCCTGGTGGCCCAGGACGCCCTCTTCTACCTCTCTTGCCTTCTGCTCCCTTCTCACCCTTGATAGTGATGTAGTCTCCAGAACTGGCTATAGCTGTAGCTCCTGGCGGACCTCTTTCACCTTTTTCACCCTTTGCACCGACGATTCCCGGTGTCCCGGGAACTCCATCCTTCCCCGGCTCGCCTTTGTTGCCTTGCGGTCCTTGAATTCCGTTCACACCAGGAATTCCGGCTGGTCCAGAGTCACCCTTATCACCTTTCTCGCCTTTGGTGCCCTTGTCTCCTTTGTATCCTCGCGCGCCACTCTCACCCTTGTCACCTTTCTCCCTTAACACTAATTAATTCGATGCGTTCGGTGAAACAGTTTTTTTTTTTTTTTTTCACTTGACGTCGATTAATCTAGATACAGGAATTTCGCAGATTGTATTATATATATTATAGTTTTCGTTCATCGAATGAAATAGCTATCAACGTTTTTCATATTTTTTTTTTATAACGAATTTTTGAACACGTGCTCAATCTTTATGTATTACTGGTGCTTTTCGAAACTTTATCGGACAAGCAAATTCGTTGGTTATTACCTTCGACGGAAATCACTCTGACAAAGTACAGTTTTGGCCAAAATAATGTAAACTATTATTTTCAAGAAGAATCACGATCGAAATTTAATACCACGATCGTAAATTGCCCTTTAAATTCACATATTACAAGTATCTTTTTGCAACTGTAACAATTCTAATTTATATTCTTTTTACAATTCGAACTTATACTTTGCCCGCACTAGTGATTCGATCTTATTTCTTTATCGAGCCACCAGATCTGTCAAATTCGTGATAAAAACTACAAAGAGATAAGAGTGCACATGTTCTTACCCGCTTCTCCAATGCTCACTCCCCCAGGGCCGCTTAAGCCAGACAAACCTGGTGGTCCAGGTGCACCTGGAGGACCTGGTTTTCCTTCTGCTCCTGTGTCTCCCTTGTCACCCTTCTCGGCTGGTCTCCCATTCTCACCCGGGGCACCAGGAAGCCCCGGTGCTCCAGGAGCACCAGGTTCACCCTTGAACCCTTGAATCCCTCGAGCACCCTCTTTTCCGTGATCGCCTTTAGCACCCTTGTGCCCTGGTTCACCTTTGTTCCCCTTGGCGCCGGCGATTCCAGTCTCTCCTTTCGGTCCTGGATTCCCTGGAAGGCCTGCCTCGCCTTTCTGCCCTGGCAATCCTGGTCTCATCGTGATACCTTCCGTCTAAAGTTTTTCAAAATAACCTTCATTACCTTTTAGAATAATTTTCGGGTTTGTCATATTCATCATAGAGTTGGAAGTTTCATTATTTCTGTTCGTTTTCATGCAGTGCACGAATATTTTTTTTTTTTTTTTTGCGAATATTAAATTTAAATATAGTTTCTCATTGACGGACCAAGCGAAATTTTTAGACGTCCCCAACTTTTTCGTGAAGAATTTTTATTCTCGTTGAGAGAAGTTTCTGCCATTTCGTATTTCGAGAACGATCGTATGACACGGTCTGGGGTGTTGGTACTTTACTATGCTGATTTTACGATCATTTCATTACTTCTGATATCAGATGGAAGTGATACTTGTTTAAAATCCGAAACATTTCTCCACGAATGTCACGTTGATAGCCGGAATTTTTCGCAAAGTTAAGAACTCGGACGTTATCGTCTCGAAGTATTTTCTCGAAAGGCACAAATTGTATTTTAAAATACCGAGAGAAAACGAGCAAATACCATTTGCTAATGCAATTGTCGTTTGAAATCCATCATAAAGTTTCGCTATAAATTTCCGCGGACCGCGGAGCGCAAGACGGAATGCTCGTAGCGCACCGAGTACAATCTCGAAAGAAGCTTTCGTACCAAAGTTGCTCTAAATATGGAACTATTACTCACCCCATAAATGCCTCGGGGTTTCCAACTGGGCTGCATGCGCATAATAGCCGAAATTTCTCTGTTTAATCATTGGTATAAGGTCGTAAAGCTAAAAGCAGTCGGTCGACCCGAGTTGCCACCTGCTCATTTGTATCGTTTAATGGGCAGTGACGAACAATCGTCGTGCAAACAGTCGTCTTCAATATTCAATTGAATATTCCGTTCTCGATGTTAATGTTAGTATTCCGTTCTCGGTGTTAATGGTAGTCTGGTTTACTTTGCAAACAAGCGACCGATCCTTTTATCGCCATCTTACATCAGCTACGAATTATTCAATAATCGATGGAACCTATTGGGAACCGTGTATTTCGTCGTTGGGGAGGAATTGGTTTAATTTATGATTTCCTTTGTGGCGTTTATGGTTAGAATGTAATTTCTTATGATGTAGATACGTTTGTTGAGGAAAGTTTCTAAGATTCGACTCATAGAACGACTGTGTGATAAGTATTATTACAATTTCAATAAAATAGATTTGATTAGAATTTCGTAAGATCTTTCGAAAATCTGAATTTTTCGAGATATGAAGAATTAAGTAATTAAAGATAGTTAGAAGATAATTACTTTGCTGTGCTCACGGATACGAGACAACTCTGAAATATTCTATTTTCTTTGAAATATTATAAGTCGTAGATAAACGGTAAATAATTGTATAAAGCGCGTCAAAAATATTTTTCTACGCGAATCAATATTTGCAATGGCAATCGTAACAATTGCATCTTTCTGCATTTGAACTGCAAAGTCGAACATTCGAAATGGTCATTGATATGTTGTTAACAATTAACCGATGCGGATATTCAAGTGAAATTCCCAATCGTGCGAAAAAAAAAAAAATGGAAAAAAGAAATAATCAGAAAGCGAACAAAAAAGAAAAAGAAAAGAGGTATAGATTGTTTCAAGTGCGATCGGTATCGATCAAAATTTCGCGTATATTGATACCTCGCTGCGTTCAACTTCGATGAATCGAAGCTTATTCAAGGGAAGATCTGTGAAATGAGTAGATAGAATAAATTTGAAAAAAAAACTAACATTTTAATCTACGATAAAGATGTGAATATATTTGAAAATATTATAAAATATACCAATGCGAATAAACTTAGTATATAGAAATTGATATGTATTGTATTCAAGTGGATGTACAGATGTGTAATAGATTGTAACGAGAGACAATAGACTGGATAGACTGACTATTATCTATCAAGAAAAGACTTTCGCTTTGGAAAAATTTCTCGGTTATCTCGCTATGACAAATCCCAAAATTCCACATGCTGATTGTATCTCATTATGGGCAAAAAGAGATCAATTACTATGCTTATCGGAACTCATTTATATCTTCGTGTTACACTTTGAATGCGAGATGAAGAGAAAATTACACCTCTACGAAGGTCGTGGAATTTTTCAAGTAAAACATTCTGGAATTTCCCAGAAGTCGGACGATTGTCTGATCCGGATAACTGTTTCTTAAGACAACTGATAATGAGTTATTGTTCAGTAAGAAAGGATTATAGAAAGATAAAGATAATGGATTGTAAGAAATATTGAAAATTAAATTTGGACCAACACAGTACAGATATTACAAAAAAAAAA